ATAAGCAGGTAATACTATCACTTAATGGAGAAAAAGAATAGTCTTGGATGATGATGATGATGATGTTTTTTTTCTTAGCCTGTTTTCTAAGTGGAATTATTTTGTCAACTGACTCTTGCTTTTCCTTGACTGTTTCTTTCTGAATGAAATGAAGTGGACAGGCTTAATTATTTCTGGATAGTTTATGAAATGAGTCATTTTAGCATCTTTGTTCTGGGAAATCAAAAGACCTAACCCAGTAATTCCCAAATGCAGGTCCACAGCTTCCAGTCTCCTCATCCCAAGTAATAAAGATGTTTTAGTGGCTGTTACAGTTTATTACCTTCCTGTAGCAGTCTCACACACAGTAATAGGGAAGAGTTGTCCTATTAGCCATAAAAAATGAGAACCACCCTTCAAAGTAGCTACCAAATGACTTCTTACTCCTAAAAGAAATGTGTGCTTCAAGAGCAAGTTCAGTGCGGCTGCCTCTCTTCTAAGTGTTCTGGACACCACTGAAAATTTCATATGTTGACTATAAGTAATTGACAGTTTAGATTTTAAGTAGGTGGTGTATGCAAGAAGAATAGGTAAGTTGAGGAAAAGTTAATTAGTGCAGAGGACTTTAAAAAAAAATTAGCATTGAGGCCTTGGTGTTGCTTAGTACGTAAATGCTGCAGTGTCAGAGGAATGCCTCCCATGCCTTAGAAAGTTTGCTAAAGGCTTCCTGGTAGTGAGTAGAATAAAAAGCAATAGCCTTTGGGATTCCCAAAGAGAGTAGTCATCCTTGGGTTTTCATGCTGAACATTGTGGAGTACTGTGAAACTTGTTGAATTTTACGCAGATTATACCACACTGGATTTTAAGATTTTGAAGGGGCTCTTTTGGTAGGGAAGTAATAGTAAAAAGTATATAATCATGTACTATATTTTGAGCAAGGAATGAAACAAATTCCCTACAAGAAATTCCTTTCCACAACTGTGAAGTTAGGTCATCTTCTACCCTCAGGGGTTGTCTTGCTGATTCTCTTACTGGGTATTGAACCCAGGGTCTAGAGCATGCTAATTGAGCACTCTGCCACTGAACAATATCCCCAGCACCTTGCCAGTTCTTAAATAGCTAGGAAATCCTTTCTGAAGCAGCCAAACAAGCTAGTCTGACTACAACTTCATCTGACTACTTGCTCTATCTCCTGACCCTCAACTTAAAAAAAAAAAATCGTTCCCAAACTATTAGCATAAGAAATGTGCTCTATCTCAGTCTGATACTTCATCTACTGTGACCTTTGTTCACAGAGTAGTGTGCTGCATTGTTTTGTGATCTGCCAGTCGAACGTACATGGATTTACTAGCTCAATCAGAAACCAGTGGTTTCCTTTTCCTTTAAAAATTCTTAAAATCAAAACTCTGGACTTTTGCGCTGTTGGCCTGCCTCAGTAAAGGGAGAAAAAAAGCACATTAGAAGAGCTCTTAGATTTCTTGGTTCCTTGTCATTTCAGGATGGGACCCACTCATGCTCTACCTCTGAGAACAGAGAAGGCTGAGAGTTGAAAGATAGAAAAGTCAATGTAGCAGAACTTTGATTTCTTTCAAATGGACCTACTCTCAAGGAACTCTATCCAACTGTTCTCTATGGTGCTTATATGATGGGTGACAGCTGTCTCCCATCTACCTGTCTCTGGTACTGTGCCTTCACACTGGTCACTGTGAAAAATAGATCACACTGGACTCAGAGGCCAGAACCCAGGACAAGATCCCCTTCTCATCTTGAGCCCATTGCTTCTTCATACAGCTGGTAATGTAGCACTTAATTCTCTTTAGAAGTTTGGGAGTTTCTCCCCAAGACATAGTGAAACATTAAAGGAAAATAAAAAATTAGACTCTGCTGATAGCTGTCATGGGAAGAAATCATAGAAAGACTTTACTCCCTTCAGTTGCTACTGAATGACAGCAAGAATCAACTCTGCAGCCTCTTCCAGAGTTTCTGAAGGCTAGAACAGTAGTGTTTGTAAGCAACAAACTTACCTAACAGTTTTTCATAACCTGCTCATCAAGGAGAATTCATATTGAAACAGACAATCACTTTCTAAGATGTTAGTCCTAGAAGGGAATGGGATAGAGTATTTTTACTGTAAGAACTTACCAGTATGTTTTCTTCCTTTGAAAAAAGTCTGACATTCAAGATTTGTGTCTTTTATCTGTAGCAATTACTCCGTTAATGGTAAAAGATGCCTCAGAAAAGTTAGTGGACCAGGATAGCGCTCCCACACCACTGAGAACGCTGGACTGGCTATATGTATCTTGTTTCATCAGACTTTGTTTTTATTGTGACCTTAATTATAAATACCTATATATAGGAGTAGGATTTTTTTTTCCCAGCCTCCTTTAATCATCACTTAAATGTAAGCCCTTCTTCTCCCTTTACTGAAAAGAATGCACTTTAACTCCTAAGGAGAGTGGCTATTCCTGGCCCTGAAGCCAGATTTCTCAGGAGGAGAGTTGAAGAGGGAAAACTGTTGCCAGACCCTGTAAAATTTAACCAAATTCCTTTTTTTTTTTTATTCCAGTGCTGGGGATTAAACCCAGGACCTCATACATGCTGGGCATGTGCTGCCCCAGTCACAAGTATTTTAATATGAATACAAAATGCCATCTATTTGTAAACTGTCCCTAACTACCCCCTGCCAAAAGGAAAAAGACACAACTACCAAATTAAAAGAGTTCAGAATACTTACCCTGGTTTTTGCAGTTTGTACTAGGAAAAGATTACCTTTATTGAGTTATTTTTCAGCTACAAAATTATAAGAACTTTCTGTATTGTTTTGTGAGAGGCTAAAACTTTTGATTAAAAGTCAAGTGAAAACACAAAAACTCTAAAATACTATCCAGAATTACATCACCTCTATCTGGTTTGTTCTTCCATAATTTGACAGGTGTCCTCAGACTCTCCTCCTGTAGATTCTCTTTCCCCTGATGACAAGCCAATAGTTGTTGAAGGGGTAGCATGTCTCCTAGAGCCCCAGGAGCCCTGTTGTATCGGGGAGGGGGGAGGGCAGGAGGGTGGGCCAAGACTGGGTCAGGGGAGGGAAATTCAAAGAAGACTTAAGATATGGGTTTATATAAATGTATTTAAAGCAGTTAGCAAAACCTTTCTCATTGAACAGCTTTAAGAACAATGTGAATGAAACCTTAGCAACTTGGTTAGTAATCTGAAAAGTCTATTGATGTATACTTGAAATTCTGTTTGTATAAAAATACATTTCCTCTTTATTTTAACACTGTGTACAAGAACATTATGCATGTGAGTGATTTGAGAAATAAATGGTTTAATACTCATATTTGAATCTGTCTTTTCTGTAAAGAGAAATCAATCTGTTTATACCTTTTCTACAAAGAAAGATTCTGACTCAAGATCAGAGATCTGTCATATAAGAAATTCACTGTTAGAGTGTCAAAATCCTAGCTATAAACACTCCAAGCAGCTACTCAGAATCTATGGCCTATGAAAAGACAGTCCTCCTGTTGAGTGAGATGTTTTTCTTGGAGTAGTAACCTGATAAAATGGTATTTGAACTACACATCTATTTGGAGTTTTAGTATGACGGGAATACTGAGAATTCAAGCTTCCCCTGCCCTTTAAAGGCATCTGTGGTTCTTCAAGGAGAAATAGTAATAAACCTCCCTCTTTCGTTTTTAAGGTTTTTTTCATCCCTTTTTTTTGGGGGGGGGGTGCTTTTTTGTAGCCCCAGCTGGCCCAGAACTCGCTATGTAGACCAGGCTGGCTTGATCTCACAGAGATTCACCTGCCTCTGCAATCCCGAATGCTAGGATTAAAGATGTGCCACCACGCCCGATGGGGGTGCTTTTTGAGACAGGGTCTCTTCACTACGTAGCCCTCCCCACCTGGCCTTCTCCACCCTAGGATCATAGGGAAGCACCACCATGCCTGGCCTCTTTCATTTTATTTACCCAGAGATGGTTACAGAGTAGAGAAGAATTGAAAATGCTATTTTGCCAAATGCCCCAGCAGCACCTCGTTTGTGTTTCATTCCTTTGTCTTCATTTCAGATGGCAAAGTTCATTCATACTTGTAAGTGGCAGTAGTTGTATTTATTTTTACTTCTACTCACAAACACCAAAAATAAGAAGGAGGTGCAAAGATTAAGAATATTTTAGTCAACACAAGGGTTGGCCACTCTCCCCATGAATATAATAGTGTTCAGAGCAACTTCCCTTATAAGAACCAGGAAGGGCCTGTTGGCCTTGAAGGTCACCCTGTTGGGGTTGAGTGAACGGCCAGCAATCATGACGACAGTACTCGCTGCTGCTTCACTGCCTTCCTCATTTACCTGCAGATCACATAGGAAACAAAACTGCTACATTAGCCACTCTGGTTCATTATAGGCAGGTAAATCACAGACCCAGCAGTTCTCACAATGCTATCTGTTTTCCAGTAGCAAGTACACCTGGGTTCCTTCCAGAACCCACTTCCACTCATTCTTCCATCCAGTGAATGTAACGCCCTGAGTTCATACAAAAATTCCCAAGAGTTCCACATACATAACCCCTGAACTAGAAATCTGAATGGTCACATCTCTGGTAGCATTGTTGACCAGTGTCAGAGAGCAGTTTTTGAAGCATCTACAAAGAAAAATTCTGACTCAAGATCAGAGATCTGTCATACAAAAGATTCACTCTTTAGAGCATCAAAATCCTAGCTATGAACACCCCAAACAGCTACTCAGACTCTATGGCTTATGAAAAGGCAGTCCTCCTCTTGAGTGAGATGTTTTTCTTGGAGTAATAACCTGATAAAGTGGTATTTGGACTACTCATCTAAAGGGACATGCCTCCAGAAAATGTCTGATGATCGATAGTATTACTCTGCTCCTCAGTGGCCTGGGATAAGGCCTTCCTGTGCAGCCCAGCTATTGAGGCAGCCCTGTCATTTAGGATCATCCTGTGTCAGCCTGCCACTCTGGTCCCTTTTTTATTTTTGCAACCTTTCACTAGCCCTGGCTGGCCATTAGCTTTCCATATCGACCAGGCTGGCAATCCTCCGGCCTTTGCCTCCCGTTTCTGACTCTGCAGCACTTCAGATCCTTGAGCTTTGTGGAGCTGGTTAATGATTTTTTTTTCCCCTCTTGATTGCACCACATCATCTACCTCATTCATATTCTAGGACTAAATTTCCAAGTCATATAAAGATCAGGAACCTCCAAGCTCCCAACAGTCTCCGTCCTTGGCCTTCCACTGAGCTGGGATCCTAGAATGATGATTATCAGCACAGTGCTCTGAAACCTTTCTGACTACAACCTTCCTCTGCAACCTCAGGTCCTATAAACTTATCTTCTATTAGTCTCTTTTCTCTGTCAGCCTAGCTTCCAGTGGGGTCAAAATCCCCTGAGAAGCTGTGTAAAGAAAGAGATTCTCAGACCCCATCCCAGAATCCTCAAGGATGAATATTTCCACCTAATGCTGTTGGTCCACACTCAAATATCTGAGAAGCAGAAGTCCCACAAGCTGTCCATGACTCAGTGGCAACATGAGCATCCATGCATACCCCAGTGGGTGGAACTAGGCTGTACAATACAGCTCTGTTTTTGTCACTGGGACTTCTCAGACCTCAACACATCAATGTGTACAGCCACAAGATTAGCATGTGCCCACGTTTTTGTCTCCTGAAATGGAGTATAGTGCTTTAGTTCTCCCAAACACCTTAGGACATCTGTCCACACTCACTAACTCCCTTTTTCACCTTCCATTGCTCCTCAACTACTTCAGTTAGGCACCATGCCCTTCCCCCATCCTGTCCAGTTTCCTCTGGAAAAGGTAAACTTCATTTTCAGACTTTTACTCCATGCTTTCCATTTTCCTGAAACTCCTGGTTCTCCTCTTCTGAATTCCTCCTCAGTGGTCTTTGCTGGCTCCTTTTTCTCGGGTCACCCTGTAAATATTTGTGCCCCTCTAGCAGGAGGGAAGGTACAACAGCCAGACCTTGAGGGTTTCAGTGAAGAACTATGCTGAGGCAGACCCCATGGAGGGGAAGGCTACCACTTGGGATTAAAGGAATACTAGAAGCCGTCCACAGATCTGCTGTCTATATACTATAAGAGAAATGCAGCAAGAACTACAGATAACTGATGCACTGGATGAGAAAATGCAGAAAAGCAGTGTGGGAAGCGAGCAGAGGAAGGTGCACTCACCTCAAGAAAGGCTTTGTGGAATGCATCTGAGACATAGAGGTCATCCCTGCCCTCTGCAACAATACCTGGAAGGAAGATCAAAGAAGGACAGCTGTGCATTGGCCTAACTCACAGACAGGAGTTTGAAGGAAGACATCCTTGGGGATTTTTTTTTCTTTTTTTTTTTTTAGAAATAAGATGTTGAGCTTCCCCTGATAATAACCTCCCCCTCCCACAATGAATACCTATTAAATATAATAAGGTACTTTGGGCTTGTTTGGCTTACTCTTGTGAATTTAATCTCTTGTCAGCTTTTCAGGGAGGTAGAAGGGTGGGACGCTGTTCTTACAGAAAAAACTTAACTCTGCCTAGTAAGAACGTCTTTCCAGTCTGGCAACATATTTAAGAGAAGTTTCAAAACTAGTTTAAAGATAGGCCGATAAAGATAAATACAATTACCTACTGTTGTAAGCCCTTTGTTTAAGGAGAGAATCTCTCCATGTAGCCTGGCTGGCTTAAACTCACAGTCTTCCTACTTTAGCTTTCTGAGTGCTGATATTAGTATGTACCACCACACCCAGTTCTAAACTTATTTTTTAAAAAGATATTTGGGGCCAGAGAGATGGCTCAGAGGTTAAGGATGCTTGCCACCATTCCTAACAGCATGAGTTTGATTCCTGGAACTCACATGGTAGAAGGAATGAACAAATTTTCAAAAGTTGTCCTCTGACCTCCACACACGCTCCATGCCATGTGTGTACCCCTGTGTGTGTGTGTGTGTGTGTGTGTGTGTGTGTGTGTGTATTTGTCAGGCAGGATAGCACACACCTATAATTGTAGCACTTAGGAAATGGAAACAGCAGGATCAAGAGTTCAAGGACAATATTAGCTACACAATGAGTTCAAGGCTAAGCTGTGCCATATGAAACTTTGTGTCAAAAAATAAAATAATGGGGCTGGAGACATGGCTTAGCAGTTAATATTGCCTGCTCTTGCAGAGGACCCAAGTTCGAATCCCAGCACCCACATGGTAGCTAACAACTGTCCAGCTAACAACCATCCACGAGCATTGCATGACACTGGTGCACCTACCTACATGAAGGCAGTACACTCATGCACATAAAATAAAAATAATAACATTTTAAAAAAATAAGAATCTGGAGAGATGACAATGATTAAGAGCACCGGCTACTCTTCCAGAGGACGAGGGTTCAGTTCCAGCACCCACATGGCAGCTAACATCTGACTGTAACTCCAGTTCCAAGAGATCTGATGCCCTCTTCTGACCCTCCCACCCCCCAACAGGCACTGTATGCACATGGTACACCTACATACATGCAGGTAAAATACCCATACACCTAAAAATAAATAAAACAAAAAATTAAAAGCGTGAATAAAAAAGGTATTGTCCATTTTAATTCTACTTTATTATCTTACTTTGTTTTTTTTTTAAGATTTAACTTTTAGGACCTGCCAGAGTAGTGCACACCTTTAATCCCAGAACTTCAGAGGCAGAGACAGGCAGATCTCTGTAGTTCAAGGCTGGTTTACAGAGTGAGTTCCAAGCCAGCCAGAGCTTAACATAGTAAGACCCTGTCTCAAAAACACAAACAAAAAAGATTTATTTTATCTTCAAGTGTGTGTGTGTGTGTGTGTGTGTGTGTGTGAGAGAGAGAGAGAGAGAGAGAGAGAGAGAGAGATACACCTGGGAATCAAATCCCTTGGAGCTAGAGTTACAGATAGTTGTGAGCTGCCTGACATGGTTGCTGGGAACTGAAACCAGGTCTTTTGTAAGAACAGTATACACTCTGCTTAAGCCATCTCTCCAGCCCCTATTTTATTTATAAGAGCCTGTTATATAGGCCAGGCTGGCCTGGAACTCTCTAGCCTCTGCCCCCACCTCCCCAAGTACTGAGATTATAGACATGTCTCACCATGCCTAGCTTCCAGCTCTGAATGCCTGGCACATTCCTCTGAATTCCAATGCCTCTCCCAGTTTGTCTCCACCTCTATTAGATACAGATTCATAGGAAGCCGATACTGGAGGTAGACTGGAAATAGAAGAGCAAACTCTTCCTTTTGCAGAAGAGAAACTAAGGCTTGCTCAGAAGGGAAAAGGATCTCCACGAGTTCACAGTAGAGCTAGAAGCAGAATGCAGGTATCCTGACTTGGTACTCTTCTGTTCTTTCCTCATTATCTCCCACTTTTGGTCAAACCACCTTGGAGTAGAGAGAGGAAACAATTGCCTCCCATACCAACCTGGGAGTCTGGACTTCTCAGGGTTGAACAGATCAGTAAGACCCATGTCTTGCAGCTGCTCCTTTAGACTGAAGCCGTCCTCGATGCGGAAGCGAGGCATGTGAACCACAAGCAGCGTCTCCGTCAGCTCATCCAGCCACTCCTGTAGCAAGTCTGGGCTGAGTTCCTGCTCAACTTTGGCCAGGCTCTTCTCAGGCTTGGGCAGGATGAGCACCATGGTGATGTCATCCCCCTTGAAGGGCAGCTCAAGCACCTGTGTGCCTTCTGCCACACGCCGGTATCGGAACTTGCCTTCTTGGTACATCATAGACACTGAGCATGACTGCCCATCACCCTTGTAGAACAGTTCCTTCCTTGTGTTCTCAGGGCTGAACTTTGACTTCCACAGGCCCTGGAAGATGTCAGGTGGGAGAATCACAAAGTAAGAACAAACATCTGTAACAGACTATTTATTGATGTGGGGTATAATATTATCTAATATATTAATATATAAATATAATTATTAGGGAAAAAATAGGTATGAAGAGGCTAATCACAATGTCTGTATGATGCAATTATGAGTTATGTTCTGTATATTTTCTTTTTAAAAAATTTTTTCATTTTATGTGTATGAGTGTTTTGCCTACATATACATGTAAGCACACCCATGTAATACAATGTCCATGGAGGCCAGATGAGAGCATCAGATCTGCTGACACTGGAGTCACAGATGGTTGTTAGCTGCTGCTATGTGGGTGCTGGGAACCAAGCTTGGGTCCGCTACAAAAGCAGCTGTGCTCTTAATCACTGAGCCATCTCCCTAGTCCCATTCTGTGTATTCTCTATATTTCTCAAATTCCCAGCAGTATTAATTTTTTAACATTTATTTATTTATTTATTTATTTATTATTTATAGAGGAAGGGCATGTGCCACTGCAATCATATGGTAGGGACATACTTTTCAACTTTCAGGAATTAGTGCTCTCATCTCACTAAGGTTGAACTCAGGTCCTGAGGCTTGGCAGCAAGTGCCTTTACCAGCTGAACCACCTAGCCAGCCCAGTATTGCTTTTATAATCTGAAAATTCTTTTTTTTTTTTTGTTTTGCTTTTCTTTTTTTAAGACAGGGTCTCCCTGTAATCCTAGCTAACCTAGAACTCACTATGTAGACCAGCCTGGCCTTGAACTCACAGAGATCTGCCTGCCTCTGCCTCCCAAGTGCTGGGACTAAAGGCGTGTACCACCATGCACAGCTCAATAATGGGAAAACTCTTGCACCCAAAAATAAACTACAGTCTTCTTTGCGAGTTTTTTTGTTTTTGTTTTTTTCTTGTCTTTTGTGGTCTTCCATCTACCACCCTCTTTTCCAGTGCTGACCTCCAAAACTCGGTGCTCTGCCCCTGGTGAGAATCAGAGGCCAGATGCAGAAAACAATCCCAGGGATTTGTCTGTCTGTCTTCCAAGTAGAGGCTGCATCCTGGCTGGCTTCCTGTACCATCCTATATCACTTTCTGACCCTTTGATCTTGAGATAAGTCATTTAACTCTTTTTGAGTGGTGATTTCTCATCTATAAGATTAGAAGTAAGCAAGAGCTAATAACTTTAGTGTATACTTTACTATATGCAGTGAGAGTATACAAATACTAAGCATTTCATGCACCTTCACCTATTCAATCCCTCAGTCATCCTGAGGTAAGCAGAAATTGGGGCACAGGAAAATCCCAGAAAACTCACAAGAATTTACACGCTCAGAAACAGAGTCAAGATTTGAAACTAAGTAATCATACTGCACAAATGGCCCAAGTATGTTATGAGAATCAAGAGGACTAATAAATGGAAAATCATTCCATAAATTGTAAAGGGTAGCACACTGGAAAATGCAGTCTACTCTGTTCTTGAGGTGGAAAATCCAAGAGGCAGAGTGATTGGTACTAGCAGTGACTGGCTAAGTCCCTGGGCCACACCAAAGGAAGAACATAAACAGCATATGTCTCAGGGTGGACAAAATATGCCACAATTCCAGCTGTGGTCCTCTTGAGTGTCAGCAGGCTGTTTATTCCCAGGGCCCTCTCTCTTCTCCTTCTCAAGTGTAATCAAATTGGAACAGTCCTTAGAATTCTTCACTCTCTGAGAAAAACAAGGCCATCTGCATTATCAAATAACAGAGCCCTTCTAATCTGAGGTAAGCCCAGCACCTGGAGGTTCAGAAGGTTGGGGCCAGGGAACTATGCATTGTAGAAGCTGCTCTGGGTAGTGGGGAAAATCTCATCATTGAGGATTGTTGCTAGACTCATTTTGTCTAAGATTTCAAATACAAAGCCGGGCGTGGTGGTGCATGCCTTTAATCCCAACACTCGGGAGGCAGAGGCAGGCGGATCTCTGTGAGTTCGAGGCCCACCTGGTCTCCATTAAAGAATCCAGGCCAGCTGTGGCTACAGGGAAACCTCATCTCAAACAAAACAAAACAAAACAAAACAAAACAAAAAATATTTCAAATACATAAACTAGATGGCAGCAACTGTTGCATAGGCACAAGGGTTTATCACCATACACATCCTACAGCTGAGGAGGCTAGGTTTGTGAGTGCATGAACTCTGCCCCACCTGGGGACAGCATTAAGCCCACTGGATCTTTAGGCTCTTAGTAAATTTATCTGTCTGTCTATACCATGCATGAACCATTGTTCAGAGGGATATGACTGTATATGTGAAAAGATGTGTAAGAGTATGAGCTCGGGAGACAGAGGCAAGCAGATCTCTGTGAGTTCAAGGCCAGCCTGGTCTACATAGTGCATTCCAGGACAGCTGGGGCTACAGGGAGACCCTGTCTCAAAAAGACAAAAAAAAAAAAAAAAAAAAAAAAAAAAAAGAGTATGAGCTTAATAATAACAGGAAGCCCCTGAGGTCTCTCCAGGGCCATTTTGAGTACCTTGAAGTAAATGGTGTTAACCAGCACCAGGACAGTGAGTTCATTGATGGCTTCTTGGGGAATGACATCTGTGATGCGACCTTCAGTCTTATTGGCTATCCAGTTGTTGATGGTCACTCTGGACTGCTCTGCATTTTCCTAAGGAAAGCAGGATACAACTCTGTCCACCTGTGCTATCCAGTTAGCTTTTCCCTTTCCCCACACAAAGTTTATTTTATTCATCATTCCTCAGCTCTTTCACACCACCTGGTTAAGAAACATTGCTTTAACCCAAACCAAGGAAACCTCACCCCTCTAATACAGTCATTAATTTTTCATATACTTAATATTTTTTGTGGTGGTAGGGATCAAACCCACATGTTAGGCAAGCACCAAGATATATCCCTCTTTAATAGAAGAAGAAAAAGAAATAGAAGTATTAAGAAAGAAGAAAGGAGAATACAGTCCGTGGGAAAGAAGATAAAATGCTATGTGCTCTGATTTTGGAAAACCTAAACTCTCAAAACCATAGTTTCCAAACATGGTCTAGGGGAAACGATGAGCAAAGGCACAGCTGAGAGGATGGGTGAGGAGGGAGTGCCCTGTAGTCAAATAACTTTGAGAAATGCTGAGTGAAGCCAAGGTAATTCTTTGTTGCATAACTTCTCAGAACACTTAATGGGCTGTGTGCTTCATGAATCTCTAAGGAGCATGTGACATGCATCATATACCAACTTTATATGACCATGGCATCTGAATAGCCTATGGTTATATTAAACCTGGTGGGTGAAATTTTTTTACATGTTTTTGGTCTTTTTGAGACAGGGTCTCCCTGTAGCCCCAGCTGGCCTGGAACTTACTATGTAGACCAGGCTGGCCTTAAACTCACAGGTATCCTCTTGCCTCTGCCTCCCAAGTGCTGGGATTAAAGGCATGTGCCACCATGCCTGGTGGTGGATGAAGTTTTAAAAATTAATTCATTATGCAACTTCAGAGTAGCCTCTATATCCTAAGATACAGATACCATCGATTTCTGAGATCTCACGTAAAAATCAGTGTTCCAGAGGGTTCTGATTTGTCCTCAGCCTCTACCAGCCTTTAGCAAGCACAGTAGTGTTAATCTGTATTCTGTGTCCCTTCTCAGTCTGAGTGGAGAGGCCAAATGCTGGAGTTAGAGGTGACACCTGCAACTTACCTTGAAGTCCAGGGGCTGGAGCTTGGCTCCATAAACAATCTCACTGATTTCTTGATAGGTCTCATTGAAGGTAAGGGATTTGTCTCCAAAAAGGCGATTAGCTGATACCAAATTGGAGGATTTGTTAGCTTTTCGATACAGTCGGCAGTTCAGTTTGGCAAAGAAGAAGTGGATCTGATCAGATGTTTTCTCCGAGATGGTATCAAACTTAAAAACCTATAGAGACCAAAAGGAAAGGGTGGTGGGTGTGGTAGGGCAGCCTAGTTACCACAGGTACTGAGCACAGTGATAGGTCAACAGCCACCTCAGCAGGGAGTACCTTCAAGCACAGTACCTGATTCAGCATAAATGCTCAGTTCCTTTTTTTTTTTTTTGTCTTTTTGAGACAGGGTTTCCTTGTAGCCCCAGCTGCCCTGGAGCTCACCATGTACACCAGGCTGGCCTTGAACTCACAAAGATCCGCGTGCCTCTGCCTCCCAAGTGCTGGGATTAAAGGCGTGCACCACCATGCCCAGCTCAGTTTCTTTTTTAAAAATGAATATGCAAGTAAAAGGAGGAGAAAGGGCAGGAAACAGTAGGAAAAGACAAAGAGACAGGAATGCCATCTACATGCTAAGTGATTCTATACCAGCATGTGGTGCTTTCTTACTGGAAAAGGCAATCTGTTCTCTTGCTGATTCTGGACAGATAAGGAAACCAAGATACATTATCTTTCATTGTAATAAGTATTTCCATGACATCTACTTGGGTCAGCTCCTCTTGGGGGCTCTGGAACACTAGTTGTGGGAGGACTGAGAAAGGAAAAGAGTGAGTGCATCAAGCAAGCAAATAAATCAGCCCAAAATCCAAATTTCAGGGTCAAAAGGGACTTGAAGACCATCCATGCCATTCAGAGTCATAGAAACTCTCATAGCCCCACACAACTGCCTTCTCCATCACCAGTACAAAATAATGAGGCTGCCCCTTCCTTCCCTCATGTGACAGAAGTTCTTTTGCTTTTATTTGATCTCTGATTTTGATTTTCCTGATTTTTGTTCCAGTACACACTGTGTGTGTGTTTGTGTGTGTGTACATGAATGTAACAGAGTGAAAAACCTAGGCGCCATGAGGCCACCTGATAGTAATGCCTGACAAGAGGTCAAGCATTGAGAAACTAGCTTATCAGAAAAACAGGACGTAGTGGTCAAGCCATCTGCATCTGGCAATCCCCGGGGCTCGATACCAGGAAATCAGGAAATAACATCTGTACCATAAGTCACCCACCCAGAATTTAGCAACTTAACTTCCTCATGCTTTATACTCGTTTGAATGGGCCAATAACCATGCTTCTGCTTCTGTACCCCGCTCCTGCTCTATAAAAGTGCCAAAACCCAGCATGGGGGCACGCAAGTCCTCCGAGGAGACTTTGTGCCCACAGGTACCTGTGTACTAAATAAACCTCTTGCTGTTGCAACCCGAAGGCTGACTTGTCCTCAGTGGTCTCACTCTTACAGAGCCAACCTATCTCCTTTAGTGCCCTAGTTTGCTTGCCTTCCCTGCCTGAGAAATAATTTTGGGAGGAGGACCAATCACCCAAGGACAGCAGACCCCGCACCAAGTAAATTCCTGCAGCTGTACTTATTAAAATTCGCCCAAACTTCCCTCCCCTAGTTGCAGATGCCTTCTTCCCTTGGAAAGGCTTCTGTCCTTTGCTATGATACCTTGAATAAAGGACACATTCCTTGCCTGTTGCAGGTCTGGCTCTGGCTCTTATTTCTAAACTCTAAACTCCTTTCGTTTTCTGTCCTCCTAAATGTAACAGGGACCCAGACTGTATGAGCAGATGAGTGTAGCTAGAGACACCAGCTGACTATTTTATTTAATATTTTTTCATTTATTCATTTAATGCACTAATTATGTTATTTCTTTTAAAGCTACTACAATCATAATGTTCCTCCTGATAGAATATATGAATTCCAGAAGAGCCACAGGACTAACTGGCCCTAAATTGGCAGCTGGGCCTTGCTCAAGTCTGGCCTTGCTCAAGCCTTATCGACTGGTCACTCCCTGGACATATAGAGACTGCTTGTGGAGCCCACCTGGCTGTAGATAACTCACCCATCTGCCTGAGCAAATAATCTTCAGAAAAGAGACCCTCAAGGACATCAGACCCTGGAATGGACTTAATTCTTGCAGCTGTGCAGCAAAATTCCTGTATAAGACCAGACTGCTCCCAGTTTGTTAGATAAAAACCAGGCATAGAATAGCCAGAGAAAACACAGGAGGACTCCAGCAATGCAAAGTTTATGTCTTAGGATTGCTGGTGGTTGGCAGCTGAGCTGGGCAGAGAAAGCAACCAGCCACCTGCTGACTGCTGAGGAAGTTCTTATAGGTGGGTTGGGGAATGTGGAAGGTGGCAAAAATAATTTTACAGTTTCAGGGGATGCAGTCTGTACTGAGACAGCTCTTACATCAGTGGGTGCAGGAACCTGTTTATCTTCTAAAATTATCTGGGGAACAGCCTTGTGCTGAGACAATCTAAATGCAGCTGCTTGGCCAGTTCCTGTTTTGCAAGGGGGCCTTCAGGGCCTGTCTTGTGAGCTTTTCTGCACTGGGAGAGGGCCATCTGCAGATCTGGACTCTAACACAGGATCAGAACGCAGATAATCATTCCTCAAGGAACAGTTTTTATCAGCCCTTTGCTTGTCTTCCTGAATCCAAGGAGTACATTTCTTGGCTGTTGCAGGTCTGGCTCTGGTTCTTATTTCTAAACTTTAAACTCCTTCCTTTTTCTGCCCTCCTAAATATAACACCTCCAAAATCTTTTTATATGAATTTTTACACTGTATTTAGAAGCAGCATTTAGCATTAAAAACTTAATTTTTGAAAAATCATAAAACACATTATTATATCTTTACAAGGATTTCTTATCAAAATACTGGGTTTCCTTAGGTACGTCACTGAGCTCATTGGTTCTCACCCAACTCTCCTATATAACAAGGAAAACTTTCCTGCCAGAAAAGGATTCCAAAACATCCTCTCAAGGATCCTTCCAGCTCCAGGGTCTGCAGTTCACCATGAAATTACAAGTAAGCTGTTTTTCCCACTTTGCACGTCTCCATACTTCCATATGGTGAGAAGCTAGTCAATCCACACACCTATGAAACATAAACCACCTACACGGAGAAGGCACTCTAGGGTGCCAGTCCCCACCCATGCACAGTACTCACCCCCACAATGGGAGCAATCCTACAGCCAAACAATGGAGTGCCACACAACTGGTATTTATCATCATCAGAATTTTTACTAATGACCCCCATGGTCACTCTACTTAAGCCACATATTAGTCCAGATAGTACCTTTTCCACACAAGGAGCCTTTTCCTGCCCAATTACTTAAGTCCAAAAGGCCATAGTCGTGAAGCCTTCGGGAAGTTAGAAACTGGAAGCCAGAGACCCAAAGCCCTGCCTCTGCATTCTGATGCTCACGCGCACACATTCAGCCAATTGTGAGCTCACCTGCAACAAGCTCCAAGGTGATGCTGGCAGCAGGCGCTGGCTGTGGTGCAGCGGGTCACAAACTGCACAATTTACAGATGAAATATCGGATTCTGCAGCCCTGCCCTGCCTGTTGCATCCTACAGGCCCCAGCTCAGGCTCTCACCTTCCACTCACCGAGGCCTTCCGCTTCTACCTGCAACAGACATCAGACTTGCTTGGAGGCAACTTTGTGCCAAACCCTGAGTTAAAGGGAAAACAGGAGCCCTAGGGCCGTGTCTTAGCCTTCCGGTTTGCAGCCCTGAGAGGCAAGCAGGTTTACCTAAGGTGGGATAGGGTGGAGGTTCATCGTCTCATTCCCGCCTCATGTCCAACCCTCCTCTAGCTCAGCCCCTTGGTTCTCAACTGAAACACCTTGGCCTGGGAGCCCATCTTTCACCTTCCGAGGTTCCTCCTTCCATTGTTTCCCATCTAAACTTGACTAGACCCCAATTGTACTACAGTTTTTAATGGCCAACTGATTTCTTGACAGAAAAAAGCCCACCTAGTCTTATTTCTGAATTCTGTGTTTCTCTGTTTTATTGCTTGCTTTTTAAATCTTGACTTTTGATCCATCCTTACTGATAGACAAGAGATAGACCCCTAAAGTGAGACAGACAGTGACAAGGACTTCCCAGTTGATGATGGGGCTATGCCCTCAAGATGACAGGGGCCAACCGCTAGAGCATCCTGTGGGAGCATCCTGCAGGAACATCCTAGTCAAGACCCAGGTCCAGAAGACACCTACTGAAAGCCCAGGAACAGAAGTTGTCTGGGGCAACAAGGCCAACCGACTTTCCCCATTCACTGTGATTCCTGAAATGGGGACTAGAAGGAAGACCCTAGAACTCACTGGGATTGGGAGGGACCTATGCAGATTGGTGGGCTCATCTTTGGATCAGTCAAAATTGATTTCTTTATTTTCTAGTGTCGTAAAAACCATAAAGTTTCCTTGGCAACCCAGTCTCAGGTCTCTCAGTCATCAAGCACCTTTTCTTTCCTTTAATATCTCAGTCTCCACACAGTCTGAATGCCACATTCTTCATGGACTACAGATGACTGAGACGAGAAAATTTGCAACATCATACTCACATAGACCCAGCTTCTAATCTGCAATCTTGCCTTAACCTCCAAATGCTTTTTTGTTTGTTTGGTTCACATTACTTGAATTATTAGAAATATGCTTATTTTTAAACAACTATACATACAAAATAGTATCTTAAGTGATTCATAGGATCCACCAGTCTCAGTTGAGGTGGACAGAGAGAATTGATTTCACAAAGTTTTCCTCTGATCTCTACATGCATACCATAGCAGGGGCAGACATCTAACAATAAATAGAAGTTTAAAAGAAATAAATATTTTTGCATTTATTCAGCATCCTTAGCCATCAGGAAAATGCAAATCAAAACTGCTTTGATATTTCATCTCACACAGTAAGACTGATCATTACTAAAAAAACTAGAATGGCAAATACTGTTGGTGATGTGAGGAATGGGGAACACTTATACATTACTGATGGTAATATAATCTGATAAGCCACTATGGAAATTAGTGTGGAACTTCCTCGTGCTAAAAAATAGAGCTACCATATTTTCCAGCTATGGCACTCCTGGCTATATATTCAAAGTATTATGTACCAAACAAAAGAAATACTTGCACATGTATATTCATTGTTTTCTATTCACAATAGCTTGGAAA